TATATTTTAGTATCTAATCAGCAACAGAAATATGTTTTACATCGACGTATCACTCATAAAACCAACAAACGGAAAGGGAATTAAAATAAGAACAACAATTATTGGTTATAAATGAATAGCGATGTTATTACAGGAACTCGTACGCGCTAGCACGCTAGGACCTTATAGGTTACCTGTATAGTATGTTGTCTTGTAGTTACGAGATTCCGAGTGGTGAAGGAAATTGAACAATTACTGAAAACAGGAAACAATTTAATTGTGGCTGCCATTAACTACGTCATCGCTCGAGCACTGGTGATTGCAGCGATGTAATGACAACGCGCGACACGCCGCACCAGATGTAATGACCCACAAATTATCCTCAATATCAAACATGACTGGTGTGTCACAGACGAGATGCAACTAGTTCTGACGTCGTACAGTACAAACTTTTCTATATATTAAGAGGTGACACACTTTACCTACAATAACTTCTGTAATTTCTTGTGCCTTGCGCCGCGCCGTCCCCGACGTGCAGCAAGGCGCGGAGCGGGGTCGGGGGCGGCTTGGCGAGGGCGGTGGGAGGGTGGGTGACTGTCGTAAAAATGTAATCAAACTTTTACACCGCGCTAATAAACACATACGTATACAAGGTCACGTCCGCGTCCAACGCACCAACAGTGCAGCCCCATACTGACGTGACGTGACGTGACGTGACGTGACGTCGCGTGGCATGACATGACGTGACGCTCTGTACATCTCATTATCTCAGCTTGGCCTTTCTTATTCCCTAAACAAATGTCTATATTAAACAGTAGAGTAGAGATGCCGGTGAACAAAAGGTTATATCACTCGCAACATTTTCGGTGTAAGAAGATATTTTACATATATTATTTTTTTAATCAAAACTCTTCCATATTTAAATCCTCTATTCGTAAGCTTTGTGACCTTCCAACACAAAATATGATTTAATAAAACAGTAACAAACAGCTGGAAACCATGTTTGTAAGTATAAATACACTTTCTTTTATTTTCATATTTCATAGATGCCATCGCCGGGGATTTCGTACGGGCAGAATTAAACAAAACTAAGTATCGTTCTGTTGTCCTAAAAGTAACAAACATCCATCCACCGAAACTTGCTCATTTGTATTTGATCCCGACCGGTAATGCCTTGCAACGACAACGTACGAATGACGTCGGAGTACTAATGCATCTAAACGCTAACGTCGTGCACGTACATATGAGGTCTCATCACCGACAACGTCACGTCTCGTGTTAAGTACATACGTATCAGTGCGTCACTTCGCTGTGTGGACACAAGGGGTGACAGCCAATCAAACTGTCGCTTATTACTGCCTCCTGGCAATACGGAATACTTGTATGTTTAAACACAGTGTCAACATGAAAGGTCAAGAGATGATAGCCGTGACATATAGTGAATTTATATTTATTTGCGTCATTTCAGATATAATATAATATAATAGCAGGTAAATATTTAATACAATTTTATAAAGTACATTCCGTTAAAGTCATTAAGAGCAATCAAAGATTGAACAAGTAGAGCAATTCGTCGTATAACGATAGAAGTCGAAGGAGACAGTGTATCGCTAGGCGGCGGCGGAGGTGGCGGCAGCGGTAGTAATTCCCCGCTCACATTCAATCTCTATTTGCGTGCGGCTTCCAAATAAAAGCGTAATTTAAACAGCAATCAAGACAAGACAAGACGAGTGAGCCGGCAATCTGAGCGCCGCGCCGCGCCGCACGCCTCACGCGATTGTGAGAAGCTATAGAGTTAGGAATTCGTAAGGACGGTACGTTTATTAACTTACGAATATGTAATGACAACATTAGTTATATTGGTGTTAAGATCAGATGGAAACCACCGCATGAGGGTCACTCAATTTATTAAATGCTAAAAACAAATAGCATAATACACACATTATTTCAAAATAAAACGTAATTAGTGTAGTCTATGTGTTCTTCCAGACTTTCAACAATGTAACAGTTATTTTCGATGAAGCGGCAAAATCTTCGGCGGCATAAAAACGGTGAATATCTAAAATCGTTTCCAAGTTCATAGCCGAGCCGATAACAAGATGTGGGAGCAAATGTGGGATCTAGGCTTGCCGAGTCCCCCGGGGGCTGTTGCCTCAGACGGTAGCGTGGAGGCGGGGGCGCGGGGGCGGTGGGGGGGAGCACAACGCCTAAATTGGATGCGGCCAGTCAAGGTCGTGTCGTCCTGTGTGTGCTGTACTGTGTTCCTCCACGCGGTCCTAATTGTCTCGCGCCTCTTATGTAACATCGCTCCTCAACCGTTTTAAATACGATTTACGGTGAAACAAAGTAAATTGTCTCAGCGCCGAAGCCGGAGCCTGATCAATCACTTGTAATGAGAAACGGGAATGTTTGCCGTTAGAAACGGTAAGAAAGCCATAAACTCACAATTTTAAGTCGAAAGTGTACAAAAAAACTTCTGTATTATCTTTCCGAAGACTATATACGTGCTATTACATAAAAGTTGGTATTTTAAATTTAACTAAATTATCCCCTCCTTCTATAATACCATCGCCATTTATATATAGTATATAGTTCAAAACTAAATATTGCTTTGCAATAAGGATTTGCTTCTTACATACGTTCACACAAATAGCCGGCGAACGCGCGCAGTCCTGCTGCAGACAAAACGTACGCCGCCGCCGCTCTCGCCCCGCGCGATTTTTGCAACAAAAGTGAAATACAAAGAAAAGTGAAAAGACGCGTTTCAATTCATCACTCTCCAGACTCTTTATACTTCGCGGCGCAAGTAAAAGTAGCGCTCAAAGAGCAATTCGCGGTGCGCCCTCTGCCGCCTCACTTTGCCACGCGCCCCGCGCCCCGAGCGCGCAGATTAAACAAGAAGTAGCCGCGAGCACATTTCATATTGTCCGCTGCTTTAGCCGACGACGCCGCCCTTTTCATCAAGCCGTCCTCTCGTCTTTGATGTCAAGGAAAAAGATAATACGAGGCACACGACTAATTTAATCAAAACTAAACAATGCATTCATGTTATGTTCATGTAGTGCAATACTTCCTCCTATATTATTGAACTACGTATAATACCTGCATAACATTTACGAAGGCAGTTTTCAAGAGTAAAGTGTACATTCTTTTATGGTTGAAGAAATCGAAGCAGTGAGCCCACTCTGGAGCCCTTGCCGCGAGGGCGCAAAGTGTTTCTAAATCGTGCCAGTGCGCCCTTCCCGCGCCCTTCACACGCCCTTCACGCGTACTCTATAAGCCAATGGGTTCTAAGGTACTTTTATGATGGAATTACCATATTATTATACAAATGAATGCTTCACATTTGGTTCCTCTTTGTATGCCGCAGCTCCATACGCAATATTCTCACCTAATGTCATGACGTTTGTGACAGTTTTAGAAATTGTTGCCGGCGTCGATGATATGTCCTGTAGTGGCGATCTTATGGCACATTGGAGATAGCGTGACAACACGAGACAGGGAGGATGATTCATTTTGTACTATTCTTCTATCTGTTTTGGTTGTTGCTCTTTGTTGCTCTTTGTTGCTCTTTGCTGCGTCAATGTAATAGTTGCAATGTCAGTGTTATTTCTCATGCGTGGCCTCAATTAACTGGCAAAGTACACTCTAGTATACAGAGCTGCCACAAAAGAGCCGCGAGTAATGTGCCGCGACCAAAGTGCCGTAAGTAAAGAGCCGCGAGCGAAACACCAAGTCAAGCAATTACATGCGCCGCTGAACCGGTGGAGGTCTTGCAGCTCTCAACACTAATTGTCCTTGACTTTAAACTAGGATCAAAGCTTTATTACAATCAGAAGAAGTCTTTATAAATATTAGTAATTATATGTTTTTTATCCGTTATTTATGGCGCGTTATATATTTTTTTAAGATAATCTTTTGAAGTATAAAAAGACAACACTTACACTGAAATCTGAATTTTCTATATTCGATTCGAAATGTCATAAGATCGTTTATGAAATCATACGACAAAACGGAAGCTAGGATTGTTTTTTACATATTTTGAATAGCTGCCACCACCTGAGCGAGCCAAAAGTTGAACATCCCGTGGATGCGACCTACCACGACCTGCCGTGACCCTTCGCGAACCTATGCGACCCTGCCAAGGCACTCTCCGCGTCACTAATTTATGTAATCATGTCATTACAAAAGCGTCACGGGAATAGAACTTTCAATTGTTTCTAGGTACTTATAAAGAATTAACAAATGCAGGCATCCTTTGAAATGATCTTTGTGTTTGAGGCATTACTACTTTTGCTACAATACATTACGACCTATATATGTGTTCATGAAGGACGATGGCCTGACTTTAAGCTTAATACAATAAAACCAAATCAATAAATCAAAGTTTCTTACTTTCAATTTGCTTTGCACCGATGCGGTTTACACAGTTTAATGAAAGACACATTGTGGACGTGAAACTGAGTTAAATTTTACTGACAACAATTAGCTCAATCTTGATTTTTTTTATATGAGAATGGGGCAAACGAGCGGCGAGATCACCGAGGTGATCAACGACACCAGAGGAACTGCAGATGCGTTGCTGGCCTTTAAGGAAATGGTATGCTCGCTTCTTATAGGACCCTAAGTCGTATTGGTTTGGGAATAAGTATTATAGTAATTATCAAGAAAGATCTGGAACGTAATTAATTCTAGCAAACAAAAAACAATGTGCCTTTACAACGGCAAAACTTTCCTAAATATAAGAATATCACGAGTTTAATTCTTCGCGCAGATTTTATTTACGATCTGGATGTAACGTTATTATTTCACTGAACATAAACAACAACTGTACGTAGACAGATTACTAAATTGTTTTGTTACGATCTTTAATTTAGCTGTTTGAGTGTTTCAGTTTTAGTAAATTGTGGGAACCGTTATTTGATTTCGGTGGTCTGCACGGTGTTATAAAATTAATCCCCTGCGCACCCATACACATTTCTCGCCCAGCGTTAGGTAGGTATTTCTCGTAAGTAAATTACCTTCAAAAGATGTAGTAGCAGAGAGACAACGTGGCCTCTCGTCACCGGACACTGCCCGTCCGCCTCGCATTGCCCGCCCGCTCCGCATTGCCCGTCCGCCACGATTTGCCCACCCGCCGCACATTGCCCGCCTGCAGCTGGTAGTGCGCACGAGCCCAGGTACTGCACACACAACATTACAATTGTACTATAAATAAGAACCTATAGCACTTTATTACCGCGCAACCGTGTGAGCACAAATTGCGGTGATAGAAACATGATATTTTGTCTAACTGTAGACTCATTAACATGAAGTATTGTGAAGATCACAACTCATCTCGTGATTATATTACCATCTGTAGGAGGATGACATAGAAAGGTAACCGCAGGGGTAAGACCGCGACTGATCGCGGCGGAGATCTCCAACGCCCCCTGCCGTCTGCTGTGTGTCGCTGCCAATGTCGTTGCCACTGCCACTGCGGCGACGGGTGGCATGTGGATTACTCGACATCGAGAATTGTTAGCCGCTGCGGCTGCGGGTTGAATATATAAGGCTTCCGGCCACCGATAACCAACTAATATTACATTGTGTAACTAAAGCCTGTCTAACATGTATTTGTGTCGCCGGCCGACGGTAAACGTCCGCCCGCCAAGCCGTCTGTTCAATTTGCAAACGAATTCTTTCTCATTCTCATTAATTGAAGCTGAAGACACGAGTCATTATTTTATATGATAAGGTGGCAAAAGGGCATCTGAAATCGCTGAAATAGCGAAGTGACCGTTGCCCATAGACATACGCAATCGCATATGCGTTACCTACCTTTAATCGACGGAGGAGAGGATGCACAGAAAGAAAATATTTTCCCTTCCCATGCATCCTCTCATCCGGAAAGTCCACTTCCACTTCCTATCGTTTCCTTATAAGAAAACGGTTGGTAAGGTAAAGATGACTAAATTGGGCCTCCGGGACGCACACTCATCAGACTAAATGCGGAATTGCTGTCACTTCACGCCCGTCTTCTGTGTGGTCGTGGTATTTTACCGGGCGAGTCGAGACAATTCGTGCGATGATATTAAAGCGGGCTCTACCACTGTTAAACTCATCAAAATAAATAATAAAATGGTTAGTATAAAATAACTCCATCTACTTCAAACTTATTTAATCAAATGTTTTGTCCTCAATATACAGCGCCATCTCGAGGGTGGTTGCGAAATGTCGTAGGCTCGAACGGAGGTAAGGAGCCGAGAGTGGTAAGCAATGTTTGCTTTACATGCGATAGATGGCAGTAATTACACAGGTAAATGAACTCAACAAATATCGAGCGGACGACATTCACGATTGGGCGTATGCATTGGCAACATTTACACAACTAAATCATATGTATTTATTTTAAATTTACTTGATCAGTAATATTTGCATTGAAGGCAAGTAAAATATTTTGACACAATCATAACATTGTGTTTGTAGATATTAGCGCATCATCAGGCACAATTGCTACAACTGTGGAAAGTAATGGACACGCGACGCCGTGCAGGTAAGTGTCGGCGGTTTGTACTTCACACAAAGCAGGTACCCAGCTGCTGGCTGCTCAATATTTGACTCACGTAAAACGGCCATATCTCTGCCGGAGCCGCTCCGCACGACCTAATGAAAAACTCTAATAGTAATTTGGATAAAATATTGCGGGACCCTTTTCACAAGCACAATTCATTTTGAAGTCAATTACGTGAACTGAAATTACAAACGGAGGGCAATTTGCGGAGATTCTTAACGGAGTTATTCGAGATTTCAAGAGATTGTTAAAAGAATTATACTTGTTATACTTTTTTGTAATATTTATTTGATTTTCACTTTACAATACAGTCCTGCGATAGATTACACTTATCTAGACGTCTGTCAGACGTCGACGACATGGAGCGGTGGTGTCGTTAGGAGCTCAGTTATGAAATCTTAAAGTACTTAGTTGTAAGTTGTAAACAGCCACTTAGCGAGTTGTCACTCGTTAAGCGGCGGACGCAAACTTCCGATAAGCAACACTTTACAAACTGCAAACAACAGTGATCATATCTAGATACGGGTAGCACAAAAATGTTATTTATTGCAACGTGGCAAAGTCGATAATGCAGCGGTGGCGGAGCGCCAACGCCTACAAGGGCCGCGGGTGGCGGTGCCCCCGCCCGCCTAAACTGCTGAACGGATTTAGGCGGTTTTAGGCTTTTTTTATTAAATTCGTGTGCAACAGCTATATTTATTATAATAATTCACATAGAGCTTTAAATAGCATTTCATAAAGGAATGATGTACCGCTCAAAAAGCTCCTCGAAGTAACTATGTAAATGTGATGTTACCAACAATATAATATTGTACTTTTAAGGAGAGAAATTGAAATTTGTATTTAAGATGAGTTAATGTTACTCAAAATTGAGCTAAATATTTCTGGACTGTAACAAGACAGGTCACTGTTAATGTTAAATTACCCGACCAACGCAACGACTAGAGCAACGCAACGCAATGATATCACAAAAGCGCTTAACAAATCTAAAGCAGTGGGCAAAGAGCCGGAAGGGACGGCAGCTTTATAAGGAGCATACATATTGGGACTGGGAAACGTCAATGACATTTAATAATTCTTAGTAAGTTCAATTTGCGATAAGACATTTATACGGATATAAAATTCGGTCACAGTATTGTACAAAACATTTTCCAACAGAAAAGAAATGGTTAAGAAACTACTGAGGGCAACAATTTCAGTAAAGTGAAGCAAGAAACTGTAGCACAAGGAAGCGTCGAGCTGCACCAACTCTCAAGCAAAACATTTCAAGTATTATAGAAAATTGAAAATTTGAAGCACAATTCGAGTGTTTTTGATTCAGTATAGAACACGATATGTAATTGATGAAGTAGAACAGCGTGCAGTTATCTCGAACGCTGTACCGCGGGTAACCAGATCGCTTATAAAACTTGGGAATTCCTCGTCACCGTCAAGTTGTGCTTAATGCCGTTTCTAGTAAGCTCCGATTTATGTGAACCATTTAAAGGATTACGTCAGTGATTTTGTGTAGTTAAAATTTTTATTAAATATACGACATATTATTTGAAAAAAATAAAGTTTTGTGCGGGACAGGCAGGCAGCTGGAGAACTCTCGTAGTTCATGCAATTTTTAACGAATGCAGCAGACAAGTGTCCGGTGGCTGACCACCCCCCGACCCTCCTGCCCCTTCGTGCACTACACTACACTACACTAAGTGTTACTTACTTTAATAAGTCAGTAGTAACTAATTGTGCAAGGAGCTTTGTTGTGTTGATGGAAGTGTAGTGGGAAGGAATTTTTTCTCACCCGTGTGAACATCAACATACAACAAATGCTACCTGGCTTTGAGCAGAGCAAGTGTGGTAAGTGACCGGCTTGTTGCCGAGCTCTGCGCATTCCTTATGATAAGCTTTATAAAGCAAAAACATGTTCAAATCTTCTTTTATTTAAATCTTTGCACCGGTCAAAACTACAAGGGAAGCGGTACCGCCGGTGTTTGCTTATTTATTCCGTGTTTGCTGTGCGGTGTTTGTGACCCTACTTTTTTAGGTTTCAATGTCCGCCCAGCCAATAAAATAAGTCGCGATCGGGACGCAGTTATTATAAGGTTTGAACAAGTGCTGGCGTGGCAAACGCCGAATAAGCCATTTAATTGTAGTACGGGCAATAGCAGCTTACGAGGCGCTGTCTGTGCCATTTGTTGTGTTCTCGAGCGGGGCACGTGTCGATGGCACGTGTCGAAGGCGCAGCTGCGTCACTTCCGAGTCTTTACTCGTTTCCTTAATATTTACTCCCAAAGTTTGTGTCGCGATGTGCTCCGCAAGTAAATCCTCGCCGCGATTTATTACGCTGTTCACGACTCGCAAATGTTCCTCGAGAACATTACACGCACAAGGTACATTCTCGTTAGATTTAAATTTAAACGCTTCGTGTTACGTAAATTTTAATTATTTATTTCATACTACATTTCTTTACAGTGTATCGTACTACACACAATGGTATAAAATTAATCGATTCAATACGATTGATGCGTTCCGATCACGGCGTAAGTTAAAGCACGGGGGTGGCGCGGCAGGGAGATAATGAAAGTCAGCGATGTGATCTACATAAGTAATTGATCCGATTAATTATTCACATCTTATTGTCTGCAGAACGCGCGCTGCTCCGTAGCTTGTACACGACGCAGTAGCGACAACGCAAGCTCCCGCCGACGATGCCGCGACAGTCGCCTAGTTGCCGTGTCGGTGTCGATATTCCTTTAATTACCACAGTGACAGCGTGACAACTCCCAGACCTAATCACAATAGACTCAAAATTTGACTCTCTATCGCCAAATTATTTTCATTGACTAAATTCGAGCCTAGACATGATGTTATCTTATTTCTCTTAAGGACTGTAGCTACGCTAAGTGCATGGCATCACTCGAGCGTGCGGCGTGCGGTGTGCGGGAACCAGTCGGACGGGACGCTGCGAGCATGCCAGTCGGACGGGACGCTGCGAGCATGCCGGCCGCAGGTCACTCACCCTGCGCCAGAGAGCCCTGGGCTCATTTAGAGGAGTCGCGACACGCGCCTGGCGACGTGTTCGCGACCAGTGACATCCCGTTCAATTTATACGCTGCTGTTTCTTCACATGGACAGGTCATAAGCTGCGAAAAACAAAGGAAAAATGGACTAAAGTTATTATTGAGTGGTATCCAAGGGAGAGCAAAAGGAGCATGAGAAGACCATTTAAAAGATGGATCAGAGTGGATAACAGTGGTAGAGCCCGCTTTGAAATACCACGACCACACAGAAGACAGGCGTGAAGTGGAAGCAATTCCGTGTTTTGTCTGATGAGAGTGCGTCCCGGAGGCATAATTTAGTCCTCTTTCGCTTCCCACCCTTTTTCTTATAAAGAATGGGTGGGAAGTGGAAACGTACTTTCCGGATGAGAGGTTGCATGGAAAGGAAAGATATTTACTTTCTGCGCATCAATCATATGCAATTGCGTATGTCTATGGGCAACGGTCATTTCGCTATTTCAGCGTTTTCAGGTGGCCGCTCGCTCGTTTGCCATCTTATGATATAAAAAAACCCGCATATCAAAACATAGCGAGAAGTGGAAAATATGAAAAGAGACGTTTGTCGAGAGGCAAGCTGTTTCGCAAG